GCACCACTGTACTCCAGCCTGGGTGACAAAGCAAGACTCTGTCTCAAAAAAAAAAAAAAACCAAAACAAACAAAAAAAAAAAACAGAGAGAGACAAGATATGGTTTTGAGCCAACAAGGCTTTAAGAGATGTGGAGCCTATTTCTGGTACAGACTTATAGATTCTAAAGAAGATGTTTACCAGTGAGGCTAAACACCTGATGCTGAGTCAAAAATCTGATACTAGATGGAAAAAAAGAAAAAGATATAAGCTGAGCTTTACCCAAGTAAAGAAGTAGCCTTAATATCCAGCTAGTGGTCTGATTCAGGCAAATCAACAAGGTCAACCAGAAACAGAAAAGACAGAAGGGTAAGATTTCCGAGGGCACAGAACTCATCAACACTCCAGGAAAGAGGTAAACAGGGCAAAGGCAAGGTGAGTGTAGGATTCTCTGAAATGCAGGAGAGGAATTCTTGGTGTCGTCAGGGAAGAAAGTTTTTTCCTTATATAGGGGAAAAAGGGCAAAATTCTACAACTGTTAAGTCCAATGCCGAATGAAGTAAGAATCTTTGCTTGGGTCCTATCCAAGTAAAATAATGAAAGGCATGTTTGATTTCAGTTATTCCCCCGAGGCAGGATGATACTTCACCAGTGCCTCTGGCCCATATCCCCACCTCCAATTACCACCAGTAGCTCCTCCTTCCTACATTCATTCAAGAATTCTGTGTGGCTCCACTGTTCACACTGTTACCAAAAATAACTAGTGATAGATTAGAGATAATAAACAATAGATAGGAAAAAGCAGCACCTCAACTTAAACTAAAAACTGAAAACAGACCAACAGGAGAAGGATCATGGAGAATTAAGTAGCAGATCCTAGTCTCCTGCTCCCAGCTTTTCTAATATCTAGGTTGTCTGCTAGTCATCTTTACTGGAGAAAGCTGTTAAGATCAAATAGGGATCAGAGGAGAATGAAGTCTCCATCCTTTCTTCCCCAAAGGCCCCTTTGAGGAAACACTTCTCTCCAAATTAAAAAGTATTCCTGCCTTTTGGCCAGAACTGCCATCTTCCAATAATTTGCCAAAATGACGAACACAAAGGGAAAGAGGAGAGGCACCGGATATATGTTCTCTAGGCCTTTTAGAAAACATGGAGTTGTTCCTTTGGCCACGTATATGCAAATCTATAAGAAAGGTGATATTGGCTGGGCACTATGGCTCACGCCTGTAATCCTAGCACTTTGGGAGGCCGAGGTGGGTGGATCACCTGAGGTCAGGAGTTCAAGACCAGCCTGGCCATCATGGTGAAACCCCATCTTTATAAGTAAAAAATAAAAATAAAAATAAAAAAATAAAAAATAATAAAGGTGATATTGTAGACATCAAAGGAATGGGTACTGTTCAAAAAGGAATGTCCCACAAGTGTTACCATGGCAAAACTGAAGAGTCTACAATGTTACCCAGCATGCTGTTGGCACTGTTGTAAACAAACAAGTTGAGGGCATGATTCTACCCAAGAGAATTAATGTGCTTATTGAACACGTTAAGCACTATAAGAGCTGAGATAGCTTCCTGAAATGCGTGAAGGAAAATGATCAGAAAAAGAAGCCAACTGAAGCACCAGCCTGCTCCACCCAGAGAAGCACACTTTGAGAGAACCAATGTGAAGGAGCCTGAGCTGCTGGAACCTATTCCCTAAGAATTCGTGGCATAATAGGTGTTAAAAAAAAAAAAAAAAAGGCCTCTGGACTGTAAAAATGTTTCTATTCATTGAGTGGAAGTGTGGTGTCCTCTCCCCCAAAGAAATATTTAAAGCAAATTTTAATTGTGTCCCAATTCATTATGTATTGTATTTACTATTCAAATTTAATTTATTTCTTGCTGAAAGACGTGAGGTAGCTTATTGCAATAAATTGCTCAATTGGTTAGAAAATGGACAGGTATTACATATGAAATATTTGTACTTGTTTGAAGATAGTCCCTCTAAATCATCAAGGAAGAAATAATTTACCAAAAAAATTAAATTTAAAAAAATTATTCCTAATACTGGAGAAAAGCTTCTCTGCAATGAGATGGAAGGAACATGGAGAACAGAGGTAAAGAAAGAGAATACACAGATTCTCCCTTCATGGTGGAAATGGCAGTGAGACTGCTTCTTTTCCCTCAGGCAACAGGCCCCTCATTCACCAATCACTCTGGTCTTGGCTTTTGTCTAGGCAGTTCCAAAAGGATTACTTACACCAAGGGGGTTTCTCAGAGCGCTGCTGGAGTTGCAGGGGAGGTGAATGAAGAGTACGTGGTGGGGAAAATGGGCTGTCTGAGGTCTGGCTGCTGTGCATGGAATCAAAGAGGGCTGGAAAGGACGTAGGGTGAAGGGAGAGGGAAGAAAAAAAGGCATATGAGGAAGAATCCAGGAGCCACAGGTTCTCAACATAAGTCAAGGCCAACTTACCCTTCCTTGTCTGAGAAGTAGCATTTCCTGGCGACCCTTCAGCCAAACCATTTTCAATTTTTTAAACCTTGTATTATGAACATTTTTAAACATGTTTTTTAAAAAGTAGTGGAAAGACTAGTGCAGTCAATGCCCATATACTCGTCTCCTAGATTTAACACATTGATATTTTTGCCATATTTGTTTCATCTATTTCTGCATGCTAAAGTGCTTTAAAATAAAGGACAGACATTATAAAACACATCACCTCTAAATACTTCAAAATGCATCTCTAAAATATAAGAAATGTCTAGGCATGGTGGCTCACACCTGTAATCCTAGCACTTTGGGAGGCTGAAGTGGGTGGATCATTTGAGGCCAGGAGTTCAAGACCAGATTGGCCAACAGCTCTACTAAAAATACAAAAATGAGCCGGGCATGGTGGCACACACCTGTAATCCCAGCTACTCAGGAGGCTTAGGCAGGAGAATTGCTTTAACTCAGGAGGCAGAGGTTGCAGTGAGCTGAGATCACACCACTGCACTCCAGTCTGGGTGACAGAGTGAAACTCTGTCTCAATAATAATAATAATAAAATATAAGAAATTTTTCCAGCTGGCACAGTGGCTCATTCCTGTAAACCAGCACTTTGGGAGGCCAAGATGGGTGGATTACTTGAGGCCAAAAGTTCAAGACCAGCCTGGACAATATGGAGAAACCCTGTCTCTAATAAAAACATAAAAATTAAGGGTGGGTGCAGTGGTTCACACCTGTAATCCTAGCACTTTAGGAGGCTGAGGCGGGTGGATCACGAGGTCAGGAGTTTGAGACCAGCCTGACCAACATGGTGAAACCCTGTCTCTACTAAAAATACAAAAATTAGCTGGGCATGATGGTAAGCACCTGTAATCCTAGCTACTCAGGAGGCCGAGGAGGAGAATCGCTTGAACCCGGGAGGCGGGGGTTGCAGTGAGCCGGGATGGCACCACTGCACTTCAGCCTGGGTGACAGAGCAAGTCTTCGTCTCAAAGAAAAAAAAAAAAAAATTAGCTGGACGTGGTGGTGCATGACTGTAATCCCAGCTACTCTGAAGGCTGAGGCATGAGAATCACTTGAACCCAAGAGGCAGAGGTTTCAGTGAGCAGAGATTGTGCCACTGCACTCCAGCATGGGTGACAGAGAGAGACTGTCTCAAAAAGAAAAGAAAAGATATAGATAGATAGATGATAGATAGATAGACAGATTGATAGATAGATAAATAGATACATTTTTCCAACATAGCCATACACCATTAACAAGCTAAACAAAATTAAACAGAATTCCCTAATATCATTCAACACCTAGTCCATATTCAAATTTTCCCAATTATTCCCTCAAATGTCTTTTATAAAAGCATCCAAACATGAACCATGGACTGCATCTTGTTATGTCTCTGAAGCCTCTTTTAATCTAGAATAGTGCAGCCTCTTCTTTTGCATAATAACTTTTTTGAGACAGGGTCTCACTGTCACCCAGGCTGGAGTGCAATGCTTTGATCACTGCTCACTGCAGTCTTGTCCTCCTGGCTCAAGCGATCCTCCCACCTCAGCCCCTTGAGTAGTTGAGACTACAGGCATACACCACCACTCCTGGCTATTTTTTTGTATTTTAGTAGAGATGGGTTTTCACCATGTTGCCTAGGCTGGTCTCGAACTCTTAGGCTCAAGCAATCTGCCTGCCTCAGCCTTCCAAAGTGTCAGGGTTTACAGACATGAGCCACCGTGCCCAGCCCATAGTAACTTTTTTAAAAGAAGGCTGTGCACGGTGGCTCACATATGTAATCCCAGAACTATGGGAGGCTGAGGCAAGTGGATCACCTGAGGCCAGAAATTTGAGACCAGCCTGGCCAACATGAAGAAACCCCGTTTCTACCAAAAATACAAAAATTAGCCGGGCTTGGTGGTGGGTGCCTATAATCCCAGCTATTTGGGAGGCTGAGGCAGGAGAATCACTTGAACCCAGGAGGTGGAGGTGGCAGTGAGCCGAGACTGCACCACTGCACTCCAGCCAGGGCATCAAAGTGAAACTCCATCCTTTTTTTTTTTTTTTTTTTTTGCTTGGAAGTCTTGCTCTGTCACCAGGCTGGTGTGCAGTGGCACGATCCTGGTTCACTGCAACCTCCACCTCCCAGGATCAAGTGATTCTCTTGCCTTAGCTTCCCAAGTAGTTGTGACTACAGGCACCGCACAACCACACCCAGCTAGTTTTTGTATTTTTAGTGGAGACGGGGTTTCACCATGTTGTCCAGGATGGTCTCTATCTTGTGATCTGCCCACCCTGGGCTCCCGAAGTGCTGAGATTACAGGCTTGAGCCACTTGAGCCACTGAGCCACTGAGATAGATAGACTCTATCTCAAAAAAAAAAAAAAAAAAAAGGAGAGACAGAGAAGAAAGAAAAAAGAACAAGCCACATGTCTTTGCAGAAGGTCATGTCCCACATTCTGGACTTGTCTGATTGTTTCCACAAGAATCATTTAACTTATTTTACTATATCTTGTATTTCCTATTAACTGGAAATTACATCTAACTTAGCTAATTTATGTTAAATAATTTTGTTAAGAAAACTTTAAGAGGTGATCCCATGTACTGTATATTGCATCATACTGGAGGCATATTGTCTCATTGTCCCATTATAAGTATAGCTAAGTTTACTAAGTTAAGGTGGCACAACAAGATCTCACTGTCAAGTTTTCCCCTTCTAATTAGGGGTGATCCTTTGAGGAATGTCTAGTTCTCCATCAACTGGCATATTTTCTGTAAAGAGGAGCTTTCTTTCTGCAAATGCGACTATTTGATTAAACTGAACTATAGTTCTCCCTGAAAAGGATGAGTGTTTATTTCCCTTTAATTGGTTTTCAGAGTAGAGAGTTAGTGAAAAATATTCTCCAACAGTGGCAGATGAGTATTAATTTGTTTTATCATTTATTTATTTAATTTTTTTTGAGACAGAGTCTTGCTCTGTCACCCATGCTGGAGTGCAGTAGTATGATCACAGCTCACTGCAGGCTCAAACTCCCAGGTTCAAGTAATCTTCCAACCTCAGTCTCCTGAGTAGCTGGGGCAACAGACATGTAACACAAAGCCTAGCTCATTTTTGTATTTTTGTAGAGGTGGGGTTTCACCATGTTGCCCAGGCTGATCTCGAACTCCTGAGCTCAAGTGATTCCCCGGCCTTGGCCTCCCAAAGTGCTGGGATTACAGGTGCATGCGCTACCTCGTCCAGCACCCAGCTCTTGTTTTCATTCATTATGAGCTTGTGGATTTTTATTATATATATTCAGTGTGCTTTTTTTTTTTTTTAAGAGACACGGTCTTGCTCTGTCACCCAGGCTGGAATGCAGCGGTGCAAGCATAGTTCACTGCAGCCTCAAACTCCTGGGCTCAAGCAATCCTCCCACATCAACCGAGTAGCTAGGACTACAGGTGTGTGCCACCATGCCTGACTAATTTTATTTTCTAATTTCTTTTTTTTTCCTTTTTGAGATGGAGTCTTGCTGTGTCGCCCAGGCTGGAATGCAGGGGCACCATGTCAGCTCACTGCAAACTCTGCCTCCTGCGTTGAAGAGAGTCTCCTCCCTCAGCCTCCCATAGCTGGGACTACAGGCGTGTGCTACCACGCCTAGTTAATTTTAGTTTTAGTAGAGACTGGGTTTCACTGTTTTAGATATGATGGTCTCAATCTCCTGACCTCATGATCCACCCACCTAGGCCTCCCAAAGTGTGGGATTACATGCATGAGCCACTCTGCCTGGCCCTAATTTTTTTTTATCTTCTTAGAGGTAAGGTCTAGCTGTGTTGCTCAGGCTGGTTTCAAACTCTTAGGCTCAAGCAATTCTCCCACTTCAACCTCCTGAGTAGCTACATCCAGCGTACTTTAATCAACTATAGTAATTATTCTTTTTAATGCTCAAACTGTCCCAATTTTGGTCACTGGGAGCCTCTTTGGGCTTGACTGCTTCCTTGCTTCCTTTATCAACATGCTGCAAGATCATCCTGCACTTTCTTTGCCCTCGACCATGCATTCTAAACAAAATTGGTTCTTCTGGGGATAAAAAAAATCTTAGCTATTCCAATGGTTTATGGTCCACCAAATGGTCACAATACATAAACAGATACATGATATATCTGTGGTATTAAAATTTCATGAGATAGGAGGTAATTGGGGAAAAAAAGATTCTAAAAAAACTCCTGGGTTGGAGAGTAATTTTCAAAAAGTTTAAAAAACCCTGCTCTAGACCAAAAATCAAGTTATTTTCCCATGGAATCCTGATTACTTTTAGTGGAGAATGGTACATAGAGACCAAAATCTAGTTACTAAAGGAGCTCATTGCTACATTTGCCAATGCATACTACTAGAAAAAGCACTTAAAAACCAGAATTCATATTGATATTTCCAATTCAAATTTATCATTACAGTATTTTAAAAGTCTTTTGAATTTATACATGTATCTAATTTATCTTACTTTGAAAATCCTGGTTCCTAATAACAGGAACATAATTCCTTATTTGCATTACTCTATAATGCATATATATATATATATATATATATATACACACACACACACACATAATATATATATACATATACTATATATATAGTATCAATATGACTGTAGTTTCAATATGACTATTGATACTACAAAACTTTCCTTCTCTTCTCTTCAAAAATTTTTTGAGAAACAAACTGTTTTCCACAGAAACTGTACTATTTTATATTTCCATTAGCACTGTTATGAGAGTTCCAGTTTGTCCACATCCTAACATTTTCTTTTCTTTCTTCCTTTTTTTAAAATAGTTATCCTGTTGGGTGTGAAGTGGTATCTCACTGTGGTTTAGATTTGTACATCCCTAATAACTAATGAAAGTTAGCATCTTTTCATGTGC